GAGTTTGAATATTAATGATTAATGATTGATTTTTGTTGCTAATAAAATCACAAACTCTCCACGCTAACGTTAGCTACAGTATGTAGTCTATGGTTGAAACAAATCATTTTGCCCAGAATTATATTAAAACTGTGTTGTGTTCTCAGCTCTAATTACAATCCGGTTTGCTCCCCTTTCATACTCTTCAGGAAACTCATTCTAAAAAGACTCAAAACAGGAAGTGACTGTTTATCCTGCAGGCCAGACGCAGAACAGCATCAAGGTTTCCCTTGAATCAAAGAACAATCCACGACAGGCAGGAGACAATACAGAGGAGCTGGAGTGAAGCACGGAGCATCTGTGGTTTCCTCACTTCTGAGCGGTCAATGTAGAAAAACAAAGAACAACACACACACACACACAAACACACAGACACAGAGAGAGACGACAAAAACCAATTTCTTCTCTACGTGTGTTAAAACAAATGTCAACCTAGAACTTTGGGAGAAAGTTGGTCAAAGTCATTACAGCTCTGAGACTCACTGAAGAGAACTAATTCGTGCCTCGTGCAGACAAAATAGTTCTCATGTCTCCTCCGCTGAGCAGAGTTGACTTAAATGAACTGACTGTGCTGGGATTAGGGAGAACCGTATTCAAATGAGGCATGTGTCCCTTAGAGGATGTTCTCCTCGTCCACTATCCAAGCTGCTTGGTCGGCAGAACTAATTTGGAGAGTGAGTAATTGGCTCATCCACAGGTCAAGCAGCCCAGGATTAATCATACATGGTAATGAAAATTACTCATCTTTGAAATGTTTTCTCACTGGATGAACCAACAAGCAAACAGCACAAATCACAGCGGCAGTTTCCTCCGTGCGTCTGTCCGCAGGACTTAGCCCTGAAACGCTGACAGACGGAAACATAATCAAGCTACAACCGCAGTGGAGTAGAGACAAGAGCAGCAACAGTCGTCAGGTTAAAACGGATTAAAACTGAAGGAAAATTCTTGGGAGGATTTTTGTATCATTTTTTTTATAAACAGAGTCAAAAATAACTCAGGACAAAATCTCCTTAAATATTCTGTAATTTTCCTTGAATTCCTAGAAGACGCTGTCATCCCACGTCGTCACAAACAAACACGTAATCTATATTGAAATTAAGAGCCAGAGCATATCCAGATGTTGCTGCAACATTCACTGCTGAGGCTTCACTCTCTGTGTTCCAAACAGCTGTTGCATAATTTACTAGTAGATTGAGAATATTGTAAATACCATCTGATAATGCAGCACAAGAATATCCCACAGATCTTTAATCTACCTCTAAATGAGATTTTGCAAAAAACAAATTGGCCGTTGGGATGGTGTTGACATAAAACAGTGTTTCTGTTGGAGAATTTCACATTTATAGAATTCCGGTGAATGTCTTTGGCACCAGGTCACGACCTGTTTTATTGAAGCCTGACATCAGTTCTTTTCAAATATTCTTTCTGGTTTTTCCAATCAAATATGATTATGGATTTTACGTTTACTGTTTAACAAGTGGCCAATTTTTGAGGCTTGAAACATATGATGAAATAAAATGTTAATTACACCTGAGAGGTGAGTTTTAATATGCTTTAATCATCAAAGGTGAACCCTGTTTCTTTGACGTCATTTGTCTTAGGACTTTTCGACTTTAGTGCATACACACTGTTTAGTATAATATTATGAGCGTTTAACAATGACTAAATATTTATCATTTACTAACATTTCTGCAGATGAATTCACACGGAATATACCTTTATGGTTTCTCTGCATAGTTTGGACACAAAGGTTGAGACACAATGATAATAAGTGAAACGTTCACTACAGGATGTGAAAAATGATCAGTCGCTGCTTTACAACAAATAAATATCACACCCACAAAACAGTGTGATGGAATAAAAACCCAACGGTGAGCCTTCAACAGCCGGCGCTGCACCTGCACAACACCTGTACACGTTCATCCAAACACACAGTGGGGGCTGGGAATAAGATCCGTTCTCACTGCAGCTCACGCAGGCGATCATGCAAGAAACAATTACAGCGAGTGACCCAGGATCAGCGTCAGGAAATGAAAAACATAAAAAAAAAAAAATCAAATTGGACGAGTCGCAAAACAACACATTTCCACACACCAATATATGACGGTTCACACTGCAGCACAGACACACTGACGGTTCATACTGCAGCACAGACACACTGACGGCTCATACTGCACCTGCGCACAGACACGCAGCACAGACACACTGACGGCTCATACTGCACCTGCACTGACATTGAAATGACTTGCACATGTTCACAAACATATAAACACATACATGCTGAAGCGGCTCCAACCAATCTACCGTTCATGTCACATGACCTGTTGCCTAAGACATAAATAATCATCTGCAGCTGCAGATAAAATAATTGAATAATAATATAGTTCATGTAAATTAGGGATTGAGCTTTTACCGTATTTTTCTGTACGCTCCGGAGTATAAGTCGCACCAGTGCCCTCTTGCGACTATTAGTGTGAAATTAAAGAACATTTAATTTTTTAGCGGAGCTGGAGTAGCAGATACTGGTACATAAGCCTAGAGTGCCCTCTAGTGGCTGTCAGTGTGAAAATAACAAAAAAATGAAATGATATATTTCAATATATAAGTCAAACCGCAGTATAAGTCGCAGCCAAAGCTTATAGTTCGAAAAATACATTATATATTAGCTTCTAATGTAGCAACAGAGAAAGTTGCCATCAGTAATTGACAGACAGCAGCCGGTCAGAACATCAACACACGCCGCATACATGTGATGTATAGCAAGAGATTATTTAAAAAAAAAAAAAACTGCACATAAACAATCAATAATGCATGCTGGTTTTTAAAATGTTCAGCTCTGCACAGCAGGGGTCGCTAATCAAAGCAATGAACTGTCAGCAGAACAGACTTCCTGCGTCTAACTGAAAAAAATGTACACAATCTATGTTCACGGCTCACGGCAGCAGAGATGCTAATTCACTGGCTTATTTTTAGCGTGCTAGCTTGCCGCCAACAGGTCAACCAGAAAGAGTTCATGCTAACACACTGATGAGATGCTCATTATCAACTGACATTTCAGTAACAACGTGTATGTTGTGAATGTACTGATTTAGAGTGAGTCACCGACTAGCAACGCAACGTAGACTTTTTTTTTTTAATAGAGGACAAATACCAAACTCTAATTGACGACACTAAAGGTTCATTACTTCAGGTCCTCATCAATTTAAACAACTACGACCAGATCCAACAGTGGTTTCAGAAGGTGAGGGCGTGACCCCGTTGGTGGTACAGATATAGTGCACTGGTTTGTGGCTGGATTTCCTTTGGTCAATGAAGAACAGAAGTTTGTAGGAAACAGCGTTTGAAAAGAGGTCAGTAGGGTTTGGAACCAGCAGCTGTAAATGTGTTGACGTTTGAGGACCTGACAGTAATGCTGTCGACAGAAGAGAGGTGCTGCAGAAATGTCCTAGTGGTTGAAGGATCAATCTCGGAGCGGGTGATTTGTGGGTTTAAATCCCGGCCTGGCAGCACTGCTGCTGTGGTGTGGATGAAAAACCAAAAACCAAAAACCAAGAACACATTCTGTGTTCGGGGTGTGTTTCTGTACCAGGAGGAAATAAAACTTCATTTACTGCGGGTTTAGCAAGTGAAAGTGAAACTGAAAAAGTGAACAGCACACCACAAAATGTCACCTTTTGCTTTTAACCAAAGTCAACAGGGGGCAGCTCCAGAGCCCGGGGGAGCAGCGGGTGGGGACGCTGCCATGCTCAGTGCACCTCAGGGGCAACTTGGCACCTGGTGGACTCGAACCTGAAACCTTTTGGACCCAAGTCTGCTTCCTTAACCACCAAGAAACCACTGCCTTATTCTCCCCTTTCTTAAGCAACTGTCAGAAGTGAAGTTTCTGATGTGGTCAACTACTTCCTGACACCCCCAAAAAATTCACGCACTCGGAATTAGAAACTGTAAATAGAATTCATAGTTAGTTACCAAAGTGTGGTGAACCATAAACTGTTATCTAAGTGTGTTAAATAATGGTCTGCTTGACAGGAGTAGGTACCCCTAAAAGGTTTTTTACTATGTAGGTAAATAAAGGATAAGGACTGTTTCTCATCAAGTATGGGAATCAGATGAACTCTGACCTGGGAGTAAAACTTAACCAAAAAAACAACTGCCCAGTACTTGTGAAACTTTCTCAATAAAAGGAGCTGCAGTCCTCATACACTTTGGGACTTAGGTGAGCCAACTCTGCGAAGCTGTTGGTCTCTCTGCTCCCCCTCGCAGTGAGTAAAAAGTACAACGTTGTCAGGTGTGGTTCTTTTCAGGTCATTCTATCTGCGGCAGTTAGATGACAACAGTGGTGACTGAATAATGTAATTTTCGGCACCAACAGAAACATAAACAGATGCTCAGAAGTCACACACAGTTCAGCAGACACCATCACGCTGTGACTTCTACTAACGTAGGATCCAGGAACTTTCTTTTACCTCGACTCTTCTCTAACCAGAACTGAGTTCTCAAACTCTGATCCAAACAACCTTGGCAGCTGCCTCTGCTGCTGCAACATCCAGGTCTCAATCTGATGTTCACGTCAGAGAATTCTGAACTCAAAAGTCTCGGCTTGTGCTTGGCCCGCAGACACTCACAGGGCAGTGACAGGAGCGTGACAGAAACAACGCACTTACCTGAGATTCAAGGTCAGCCTTTCATCCTTAGCCCTCAGCAAATCACCGATTGAAAATGTGACACTTCCCAGGAAATTGTTCTGCAAAACAGAAGAGAGGGATGACAGAAGGCGTTAACAGCAGTCGCAGTATTTCAGTCAACACGCGACAAAGAGCGTGACACTCGGAGATCCTGCTCTTCTCATCTGACTGTTCTACTGAGGTGTTACAACAGAAACGGCGAGACATTATCTTTGACTTTTTAATTCGGCCTTGGTCATTTCTAAAGGGAGAACGTCGACGGTGAGGCGGGAGAAC